CACCTCACCAAACTCCCAGCTGTCTTCAGCAGCTAACAACTCCAGAATACACCTCTGTGTGCCTACACAGAGAGCACTGTTAGGATTATCTGGCCCAATGCTGGCATAAGAATCAAGAGATACTTGGCAAACTTCACAAGGAGTTTAGCAGACTCTGGTTTGGGGTGCAAAAGAATATTCTGTTTGAAGGTGGAAGTTCTGCTTCCCATGGTATAACTCTGGGGAGAGCAAAGTGCTCATTTTTGTCTGACTTCATGCAGCATTAGACTGGACTGGCCATTTCTTCTTAGCGAGCCCTAAAGTTCTGGAGCAAGAAAGGATGTTTGTACAGAGCTGGCTCTTCCTATTTACCCACAATTGCAGCAATCCTTTATGGAAAGTGCCCATGCTGTAGTCACGCTGCCGGTGTTACCAAAAATCACTGCGTGCTTTTAGAAGTCCTGAACAACCTGTGAGGAGAATACATGTGAAATATCCCCAATGGTTCTTCATTAGAGTGGCAGAATGTCTCGGATGTTTGCAAGTAAAATAAGCTAACAGTTTCTAACATATATTAAAAATCGGATTTCTTCTTTTTCAAGCTGTTTTCTGCATCTTATCACCTGCAGGAATATACCTCGTTTTTCAAGGGGTGCTTACATTACGGGTTACATCTCTTCTACCCAAATGTGATGTCTCCTCATTGCCTTCCTCCCTAAACACAAGCCTTGGTAGGTTGAGGAGTTTAATCCAGGTGTGACTGCTTCTGGCCTTCATTTTTATGTGCCATATGGAATTGCAGGATCACAAGCTACTGCTGCTTGTGGCTGCATGAGGCTTCTGACTACAAATAAGTACACCACCTTTTGTCTTCCTTTTATGTAAATAGGCAGAGGGTTTCATTAATTCTCTTATCTTTTTCTGTTGTTTTTCTGGTTTGTTTTGGTTTTCAATTGAGGCTTTGCCTTTGTAAACCCTTTTCCTTTTTTTCAGAGTCTCTTACACTAATTGAAACAATTACATGTTGTTTCCTGAGGACAGGTTATTCATCCTGTGACACACTCAGCCTTATTCTGATCTTCTTCAGTCAGGTTTTGTGCTGCCCAAATTCTTCTTCCTTTTCCCCTTCCTTCACAAACACGTGCTGGGGAACAAAGACCCCAACACGCGTATGCTTTGATCTCCATCCAAGAACCTTCCTGTGAAGACCACTTGCCGCACTGGCTGCAGGTGGGCATTTGATCCTTCCTCAGCAGGGGAGAGAAGGACTTCTTCACTACGTAGAGGGGAGAGATTAGAGACAAGCATCTTTCTTTGGCTTTTAAGGAGGTCACAGCCTCTCTAGTTCTTTCATACACACGTATAAATTTATATGTCTGAGTCACTCTATATATCTATAGTCTTGACATCTCCACTTGATCTACTGAGGTAGGTGCCACTCTCCACCCCAGTTCCCTGTGATTGCCTACCTGCTGCCTTCTGGTGCTGATTCAGTTGGCTTTGGTTTTCAAGCTAACGTCCTACATGCAGTATTCATACAGAGACCAGCTAGAGGAAACTGAGATTTAGATTTCAGTCATGTTCCTAGTTCCTTTGGTTTCCTGTAGCTTTCAGTCTTCTTCCCCAGAGGCGTTTCTCCTACAGCACCCACTCACTCTTGATTTCCTTCCGCTGATGCTCACAGGCAATGCAGAAAGAAGGCAAGCAAGGAAACCCTCTCTTCTGTCAGCCAGCCATGCCCACACCTCTGGGGGTAGGGGCCCAGAGCCAGGCCTGCTCCTGCACAGCACAGTTAGAATAGCTCTTAAAAAAGTAATTACCTTTGATTAAAATGTAAGGTCCCATCTTCTTTTTGTTGTTGTCATTAATGTGGGCTGCAGGCTACGGGCTTTGAAGTGTTTCCTTTTGGCTCATCTCCCTGTTCTTTCTTCATTCTTTTTTCCTCATTTTTCCTTTTTTTTTTTCTCTTTTATTTTAATTCTCTCACTGATCTGCCCTTTCCAGCTCACACTGAGATTTGTTAATTTTCACATGCTTGCAACAGCCCGGCTGGCACACTCCAGCTACCTGGCAGCCTCTAAACGGGCAGCCAGTCACAGGAGCAAGCAAACAGACAGCACATCCCTCTCATTAGCTGCCTTGACCCCAGCTTGGCTGCTCCAGAGGGAAAGAGAAGGGAATTGTACAGTCACCTTGCCAGAATGGCTTGTCCCCTCTGCAGAAACACCAGTCTGAAAGGCATGAATGAATGAATACACTGCTGTGTTTCATTAAGGATAACCAGAACTATTTCATTGGTGATCTCACGCCCTTATGGGCTGATGGACATCTTTACATCACCTAACCTAGAGGGTTAGTACTTTGTTTCCCAGCTTATGCATGCAGTAACAGGACACCAGGCCAACAGGACACAATGGCCCCTCAGGTATATCCATCTGTATTACCATCACAGCTGATTGCTAGCTTGGGTTAGTCCAGAAAGGAAATAGAAGCTTTGAAAGTGATTTCTCTCTCCTCTTGTCTGGACAATGGAAATGACTGGGATGCTCATATCTTCGTCGCAAAGGGCTTCCCAAATGTTGAGCAAAGGCGTAAACCGGCTGAGTGACTTGATCAAGGTGATGCTACAAATCAGTTGGAGACCTAGGAGAAAATACAACTTTCCTGGATCAAAGCCCAGGGCCCATTGGACAATACTGAGCACTTTGCTGTAAGCTATCCTTCGTAGATGTCATGCAAAGGCCAAAATATCATTACATCTGTGGAACCATCTGCCTTGACCTTTGTCATCCTTAATCTCTACTTTCTTTTCCCATAAAAGCACACGTGAATGCCTATAAGCAGCTTCTCTTTATCTCTCTCATGAAAGGCTGCCTGCATGAGGTTTCTCTCTAGTCTTCAAGGAGGAAAAAGTTGCTTCTTAGCTGAGGTGCTTGCCCCTGTTACAGGTATAAATTGGACTTGAGCACTGCACTGCTGGGCCAGCTAAAGTGCTCAGGGAGGGAAAAACAAACCAAATACAAATAAAATTGGGGATTAAAACTAAGCACTAATAAATACACTAATGTCTTGGATTTCAGAGTTCTTTAAATATCCCCTGTCCCAAGTGTCAAGGGATATTTCCCTTTGATTGCATTGATTTCTGATACTAGGTCATCTAAATATTGCACCTTGCTAGAGTCATGCTTCAGCGTGGGGATGTAGAGACAGTGGAGTGTTAAACTCACTTATACCTGCCTTATCCAGGGACTCTGTGTATAATGCTGCCATTCTCTTCCCCTTTTCTTCTCAAGCAGAAGCATGATCTTCCTTTGCAGGCAAGTGCTTTATCCTAAGCACCATTTTCAGAATCTTCCCTTTTTGTTCTTCAGGCTGAAAGTTCCTCTTCCTTTTTTTCTCCTTTTTCAAAAGAAAACAAGTACTAATTGAGGGAACTTATTTTAAAGTGATTGAAATAAATCCTCCAGCCTTAGATCTTGTCATGCCTCCAGCAAGAACACATCACAGAGCTCCAAAAGTGTCCAGCGTTGCATCTCTAGACTCCCTTTTGTAGCACGCTTGCCTTAGAACTGAAAGGTGAGCTCCCCTATGTACTTACTTACGTGGCAATGCTTTAATTGCTGCCGTGTACTCACAGCAGAGAAGCTCATACAGATTCCTGCTAATGGCAGTGTTGGATCCCAGCTGGGTCTGGTCTCTGAGACACAGATAGCTTCAGAGAAAAGCATGAGACTGAGACAGTGGCAGCTCACTGGGTCCAGGAGGAGACTTGATGCACACAAAGGTCTGTCTTGCCTCAGGCAGAGCAAGTCCAACTTCAGCCATATTATTAAATCACTGTGTTTTAATAAGCCACCATGTCCCACTGAGCAAAGGCAACTGATAACAACCATTATCCTCAGGTTGTGTCAAATGTGAGATAGGACGGGTGAAGCTGTAACCTCTTTTTGCTAACATTTGCTAACTTCTACAGCTGTGGCAATTTGATCTTGTGTCCCTAGCTTCAGAGTGACACAAAACAGATGAGACACAAACTGTATGTATCTGACTGGATGCATTTTAATCCTAGACAGCCTCCTGCTCAAATCTAAGTGCCATCGTGGAGCTGGGGGCTGCATGTCCTGGCAGCCCCTGGGGTGAGCAGTGCGAGCAATGATGTTAAAAACCTGCCCAGCCTCAACAAAGCCCTTTGGGACTCTGGGATTTTCCTACATCGAACCTGTATCTTTTTCTTCCTGAAATGAGTCGATGATGAACGTGACACTTTGGTTGCCATGGGAACACAGAGTGATGTTTGTGTTAGCTGTGCTCCTTCCCTCAAGCAAGTGCTGCTGGCTCTAGGGATAGGTGTGAGCAGCACTGATGGCATCCATCAGGTCTTGCCCATGTGCTCTCACGAGGGATTTGGGAGTTTGGAATCAGCCCCATTCATGTTACCAGAGGAAAATCTGAAGGGACAAGTTACTGTAAAGTAGGAAGGTTTGTCTGTTAGATTGGAGGGAATTTGGTAAGTCCTGTCTGAATCTTCTGCTGCAGAATCTTGCTGAAGATCATAAAGGGGGATCCAGGCACCTGGAGACCAATAGACACCCGCATAAAGAATAGCTGAAAGTTTTTATTGTGGGGAAGAAATGGAGCCCTGAATTCCCCTTGTAACTCTGCTCCAGCATTAGAGGGGGACTGTCAGGGACCACAGCATTTCTACCACACCCTTCCTTCCTTCAGGTTTTCATGCGTTCCCTACCTCCTCATCTCTTTACACACGTTCATGTTCAATTGCTGACATCCACGCTCTTCCCCTCTCCTGTCTACCCTTAGGGCTTTCCTGAGCCTCAGCTTGGAAATAATCAAGAAGCACTTTCATGCTGTTGTAAAGCCATTTAGAGCATTCAGAAAGACAATTTGGGAAGGACTCCTCATTGTCCCTGCTGTTTTGCTCCTTTCACAGGCCTCCCTTTAAATCCTCTCCTAGTATCATTTTATCAGGGGAAAAAATATATTTGTAAAGACCTTACAGAAGTAGGTTTTACTGAAGCAAAGGGAAGGGGTGAGGTTGCAGTTGTGTTTAGGGGACAGGTGAAAGCCATTCTCAATCTGTCTCACTAATGGGAGTATCAGAAAGGGTGGGAGCTCCTCAGGAGGAGATAAAAGCAGGACAAGGTAAGGAGAGTTGAGATGGCGTTGGAGGGAGGACAGGGAGTGATGGAGAGTGTGGCATAGGCAATACAGATGCTCTTAAGAGCTATGAGAAAGAGGAAAATGCCACCCAGGGAATCTATCCAGGTGGTTATAAACTAGGATTTAGAGGAACAGCTTGCAGTATGGTAAGTGTTAGTCTCTAAGACCTGTCAGAAGTTTGGTAAAGAGCAGCAAGAACAGCAGAAATAGATTAGGCATGTGAAGCTTATTTCCAGGAAAGAAATTCTCTTTTCTGTTTCTCATAAATCTTTGCCTCTTCACTACTTTAGCTGCTCCCTGCATTCTCTGAGCAGGCTTAGTGTTCATATGTGGCCAGAGGGTTTCAATTTGAGCTCCAAATAATAATAATAAATTCCATAAAGTGATTCCATGTCCAGAGTGGAGATAATAGTGCTTTATGTTTACACAGTAGGGTCCATGAGACTGGGTTGGGCAGACTGAAGAGCAGCTTCTCACCTGCTGCTGAGGTGCAGCTTGCTCTTGTTGAAGTGCAGTGATGCTGCACTTGCTCTGCAGTAACTGCACCAGGAATATAGTGAGGAAACTTCTCTGGGTAAAGCTGTGGAGCAAAAACTAGGTAGAGAAAGGAAATGTGATTCTCCACATTGTATTTTAGCCAGGATGTTGAAACTAAGCATCTGGTTAATTAATAAAAGAGCTGCAACAGTACTGTACTCCCTACAGCCATGCTGGGACACTGGAATCTGTTGTTGGAGACGAGACTGGCTCTTCCATTATGACCTCATTGCCACACATTCCAAGACTGCCTGAAAGTGGCTCACCTGAGTGTTGGACAGTAGCTGCTCAAGCAGCCTGCCTTTGCAGCAGACCCAACGCCTGGTTTACACAGCGCTGCACTCAGACCAAGGTATGTCCTCGTGTTTCATCCAGCATAAGGAGAGCAGGAGCTGTGTAATAGCTCTTCTGAGTTCACTCCTCATTTCTGTTAGTTGGAGGTTCATGTGCTTAGGAAGAGCAGAGAGAGGAGCGTATCTGTTATCACCTCTTTCCCTGTTTGACATGGGATGTTTTGTGCTTGTTTCCACGTGTGAAGGTCATCGCAGCTGCTCTGTCCTAGGGCTGGCTTGCACACAAGTAGCACTGGGACTTGGTTCTTTCAGAAGATAAGAATCTATTTGTTGGACAGCCAACTCTGTTGGGGTGGGAGGACCTTGTGATGGCTCTCCAGTGTGATTTCTGGTGGGAATTATGTTATTAAGAGGCTTTGGCTTGCTGAAAACAATGTCTGGCTTTGTGTTTCTCTGCAATACTGGAAGTCCTGGAAAACCTCCCCTCTGTCTCTACCAACCCTGTCTCTCAAAGGTGAAGTTCTTCCTTAGTGCCTGTGTATTACCCAACCAAAATGGGAAGTTTCTATACTGAGGCTTTTAGTACTGCTGTTCCAAGCGTCAAGGTCCATGTGTAAGAATGTGATTGTTTTCTGCAGGGACAGATGGATGTGTGTCTTTTCCTTTATGGTACTATTGTCTTGCTGAGCTGATTGACCACACAAACTGCTGTCTCCTCTGGCTGCCCCCTTTGCACCCCTATTTCACTTAGTTGTTAGAGGAATATACAGTTATCAGCTTTAAATCTCACTGTGACCAGATACCTTTTCTCTTTTTGTTTCCTCTTACAAAAGCGCAGCGTTAATAGAATTAGCTCTGCTTGCCAAGCGGATGAGCATCACACAGTTTAGAGAGAGTTCCCTGTCACAGGTATACCAGGGACATGAAGTGTTCTGGAAACAAGCTGAGGCTGTGGCTTCCCATCAAACTTCTCTTTAAATCCAGTTTAAAGAGAAGGACCTTGGCATGCTTCCTGCATCCACACTTGTGGGAATTCCTTTTGCCTGGTTTACACAAGATCGTGCAGGTTTAACACAGGAGGTTTAACACTGGAGATGCATCTCTTAGAAGGACTCAAAGTGTTTTATTGCATTATCATGGACCTATGCCACCTTCTCCAGCAAAACAGCTGAGTGCTGTGGATTTGGGATGGAGTGACACAGTTCCAGGAGGACAAAAGTAGAGGTCTGCCCCTTGTGTATTAGCAGGAGGAGACACTGTTCATCTGTGCCCCTAAAGCAGTTGAGTTTCATGTACCAGCTGGAATCCAGATGGACTAGGACTAGAATATAACCTTCAATTACATGACCTTGCAGGCATGTAATTGAAGGCCCTCCCTTGATTGCCTGGTCTTCCCACTTGTTTGCAGGTTGGTGCTCTGCTGTGAAGCAGGAGAGGGCTTGAAATGATGTACTGGAGGGATGTCTAGGCTGGAGGCTGGGGTCTTCTATGGCTGAAAGTGGGTGTTTTGTTTTCCTGAATGAAGATTTGGCAATCTTTAGTTCCTGACTTCTCAAGCTTCTAAAGGAAGCACTGGTGTGTTTTGCATCAGAAACTAAGTTGGGGGATGAATTACATTCTCCCCTGTCTCCTTTTGCCCTGGTTAAGCAGGGGGATGGCTAACCTTGGTTAAGATGGAGGAATATGATGGTTTTATCTTTCCTGTTCATCTTTCAGGCTTTTCACCACCATCTTCTTGTATGCTTAACAGACCTAAAGCTTTCTGCTTCCCAGGGACCATCTGGCTGGAGTATATCTGATTAGATAAAGTCCTGTAGCTCTACCAAGTTCAGGGTCATTAAGTTATTCCAAACAAACCTTCCTCTTGTGATTTCAATTGGACATAACAGCAACCTTCACTTCCTGCCTGAAACTCTCTCATTGATAGTGTTGGTGGGACACCTGTTGTCCACGAAGGCCTCCCAGCATCTAGATACAACTCTTTCCCTTAGTCCTACATGCATCAAAGCACTCGTACAGCCCTCCCATATGTCTCGTATACTGAGTTTTCTACTTGCGAGAGAACCTCCATGTCCCTGGTGTGGGGAAATGGATGTATATCCACTGTCATGGGGACTTCATTTGAAGTTTTGCTTTGTGAGTTTTCTGGACTTGTGTGTTTTTCCTTGTCTGATTTGCTCCTTTGCCTTTGCTCCTAATCCCACCACCTGGTATGGCTCACACTGCAGAATCTCTCTGCCTCCTCAGTGTATACGCCCTTCAAATATTTGCAGACATTTATCACTTCCCCCCCTCCCTGCTTAGTCATCTCTCTGCCAAGCTAGACATATTTAGCTCTTCTAATCTTTCCTTGCAACCGAGTCTCTCCATCAGTCATAATTCATTTCTCCTTGCTCTTCTTTGAATACTTTCCAGTTTGTCATCCTTAAAAAAATTCTTATTGGGGGTGTTTTAATAGGAGCAAAAAAAAAAAAAAAAACCACAAAAAAAACCCAACAAAACAAAAACATTAAGAAGAGAAACTTCCTGAAAGAGAGAAGGCATTTTGGCTCCAAGTCACTGGGAATAGACAAGAGCCTATTGGGATCAGGGAGATCAGGGAATTCCTCCTGCAAATTCTAGGTGGGTGGCTTGGGCGCAGAAGAGTTGTCCCCTCTTCTCTTCTGGGTTTCCCTATTCCCCACCCCTGAAATCTGTAAGAGAAGGTATCACTTTGTATTATTTCTGTGTGTATTTCTACAGTTGTGCTCTTAGAGTGACAGACTCTTAAGTGTCCCTTGCTCAGCTTTCCACCCATCGCCTTCCTCTCAGGCTGAAGGCTTCACCTATGTGTGATATTCTAGTGGGCTGTGGGGTGCAAGTGCTTCAGAGAGAGTGACTATATCTTACCAGTGCTGAATCTCTGTTTCTCAGCTTTGTTCTTCTTCAGTACTGGTAGGCATGGTGCCAAAGGGTCAGCAGAGAGCAGCCAGCTCCTTTTTATCTTAGGAAGATTTTTCCCTTCTGGCCATTTGTTTCTCCTATGTCCAAACTCTATAAAAAGGAATATAATTTAAAATGAGTCCTGTTTCTAGGAGCCCAGATGGACTTTTTTCTTTCAAATAACCAGCTCAACAAATTCTTTAGCTAGAACCTTGTTAATTAAAGCTACACCCCAGAGGGATAGCCTGGAGATGCTGCTCAGTCTCTACCTCCCATACTGAACTCTACAGTGTTTTTTGAGGGGATTCCTGGTATCTCACACTGGTAATTTGTGTTGTGTGAGGCTATGCTATGCGAGCAGAATTGAAAAGAATGATGGGGAGCAGTAAGTGTTCTTTTGCTCATTAACTACAGCAAGGTCTGCAACTCGACCATCTGTATTAAGAGCTTTTTAAATATTCCCCATCACCATCAGTGACCTGCAAGGGAGCAGCAGTTTATCTAACCAAGAGATGCTGCCAAATTTACTAGGCTGAGATGGGTATTGGTATCAAAATACTTCCAAAAGCAGTTGCAAACTTACATTGTCTGGCACATTTTTACATGGTGTAATCTAGATTTCACCTGCAATTGCAAAACATAGTTTTCCTCTGGAAGAATTACAAGGTGGGAATATTGTGACGTAAAAGGAAGGAAAGCAGAACCAAGAGTAGATACTTATCAGACATCTGTGTTCTGTTTTGCTTGTATTCTGAGAACCTAGAGTTCAAGTAGAAATGTCTAACTTTGCTGACTGAGAAGGAAGTGTTTCTCCGTTGTGGTATGAAGGCCATTTCAATCTATTAAGCCAAGCTACAGAAAGAAAGGGAAAGCAAGGGCAAACAAAAGCAGTGTTGGTTGAGTAGGTGAATGTATTCCATTTTTCTACATGTCAGGCTGTGCCACCAGCTGATGCCACTATATCATCATAACATGTAGGAACAAGGAACTCAAAACTTCTTGAGCGAAGAGCAAAAGCTGCTATTGCTCTGACAATGGATTGACTTTCCAAGCTGTCTGCTAAAGCAGCCTTGGAGAATCATGCTGAACAATGCATTACAGATATACACACTGGATATTAAATAGGAGAGAGAATGCATTTACTGTCACTTGCAGGTTGCCTTTCACCCTTCTAGTTGTCATAGCATTCAGAAGCATTAAACAATGGGTCTTTGTCTACAGAAAGGAAAACACTGCCTCTGTCACAAGCTCAGGCACGAGAGGCAAAAATCATTCTGATAAATGGCTAGAAAGAGAAGCAGTAGGCATTTGCACCAGCCTACTCTCACACACTTGTTATGGGGCCTGATTCTTGAAACAGCACCATGTCATCCACTTTAGCACCTTCAAACTGTTTATTAGCATCATCATCCCAGCAGCAGGCTGGGCTGGCTGTCTGCTGCCTTTGATGCTGTTGCAAACAAGCTTGTCTTTCCCGAAGGAGTTAGCAGTCTAGCTGGTTTCAGTCTGTCATGTTTGTCTACTGTCATTCATGTTTAGAAAGAGGGTGGGGTTTTTCTCTCTTTGTGTTTTTGCTTTATAAGAATATGCAGTTGCTTAAGATCCATTTGGTTGACAAAGTGTTTTACAAACAAACTGTGCATGGGAATCACTTTGTTTGCGGCTGAAATGCAAAACAATTTTTGTTGCAGAATCTCAAGAGGCAGATGAGGTATGGTTCAGTATTTGGTTGAATAGAGGTGGGATTACTGCCATATTTAAAGCAATGCATTCATTCAAATGCTTTGAGATGAGATTCATTCAGTGCAGATATTCAACAAGTGGCCTCTCAATTAAATACAAATAAAAGTATTGAAACTTGCACCATTTCTAGCTATTGGCACAAGAAAATTGTTTCTAAATGAGTATCCATGAAGTTTAATGGTTATTTCTACCTGTCAGGTGTCCCCTTATTAGCTCACCCACTGCAGTGACTGTTATAAAAGTCTGTGTGAATTTTATTTACTCGGTCCCTCTTTGAATGTTTATTATTCATTTTTATGTCTGTCTTTGAAATCGGCTCTGTATCAGTTAAAGTTCTCTGAACTTTAATAACTAATGCAAAGGCAGATCAGGTTTTTCCCTACTCCCATTCCCAAGGTGTTTCTGAGCAGAGATGTTCAACTCCTGGCCTCATTTCCATTCATTGTAATGGAGTGATAACAAAACGCATGGCCGACTTCTCTAATTAGTCTCATGTTCCTTAAGGTCTTTTGCTGTTGCCTGCTATTCTCTCTCATAGCTCAGCTTTTGGGGTTTTGTTGGTATTTCCCTAAACACCTTTAATAGTTCTCCCCCTCTTCCAAATTATCTCTTTGGGCATGAGCTGATATATCACAAACAAAGCAATGCAATATTCATCATTAGTTGATCATGATCTTTCCTGGTTTTGTTGTTGCTGTTGGGCTTTATTTTAATTCCCACTGTTTAGGGGAAAATAGTTTAATTGTATTTAATACCCTAACTTTTAAATTTTTATTAAACTAAAATGCAGATATATATTCAGTATAGTTTTCATGAGCTTTTCTTGTGGATTGTTCATCTCAACATAGAAAGGAGAACATAGAAAGGAATTTAGAACAAAAAGATGAGCAGTTGGCTGTCCCACAGTTCATACCATCAGGGAATAGTGGGGAACAGGGGTTTTGTCTTTAAAAGCAATATATCATTGTTCTGCTCTCCAATAAGCATTAATGAGAGGTGAAGAAGAAAAAAGACTAGTGCCTGTAGATGATGGAAAGCTGAAGCTCTTCTCCTCACACTAGGAACTGGCCTCCTAGGAGATACTGTCTCAGACCAGGTTTGTTCAAGGGAAGGCTTATTATATGGAATTGTGTCATTGGGGAGGAGTTATATAATCAGAGTCCTCTGGCACTAATTACCGGTGCTCTATAGAAATCCCTAGCTCCATTCAGATCCTTTCTAAAGGAAAATCTCGGGGGAAACAAGTGTAGTCTAGTTCTGCAAGTGCCAACTGAGATGCCAGGGACCAGGGAAGTCATGGATTAAAGTGATCAATTTTCTGAGGCCTACTTCCATACTGTTTGACTTGATCTTTTCTGCCCTCTTTTCTTCTTTTTACGTTCATGCATTGAAACATAGAAAGAACATAACAATAACTCTGAATTTCTCATGCCTTCTTTACTCTGAAATCTCTCTGCACTTGGCCAATATTGACTGATGATATTTCCGAGCCACCTAGTCATCTATATAATTTTAAAGATTTTAAGGTTTTTTCATGATTCAGAGGGATGACGATGAACAAAGTATAATATCAAAACAGCCTTCAGCGGAAGGAAATCATTCCATCTGTTAGTGAATGATTGAAGGATTCGTGACTTGGTGTTTGTAGGAAGTCAGGATAACAGCTGCCAGAAAAAGGCCAATTGCTATTTGATCAATGTCCAATGATAAGATTTAGGGTCAAAATTTTTAGTGTTTTACAGTCGAAAGCATTTAAGGTTGCAAATAATTGCATTTGTAATTCATTCTCGCAACTTTGAAGAAAGAGAAAGAGGCAATCTTGGAGACAAAGTAATGAAATCCTGATAGAGAACATTCTGGAACAGTAAATCTGAAGAACACTTTCCTACCCAGCAGGAGGGAAGGATGAAAGCAATTTGAATCTGTGTTAACCTTTAAATCAGAAATATCACCTGTGCATGTTTGTACTTGAGGATTCTCTATCATTGTTGCTGAATATACTACCCAATTGTATTAGAGACACATATACAAAGTACTCAATTTAAGCGAGCACAGATAAGAGGCAGGTCTTGCCACTTTGATTCATGCTGCCAATAATTTCAACCAGAGTACACCAGGAGTACAGTACTACTCCGCACAGGGTACAGCCTGTTCCTGTATTTATGAAGACGTCTTAATGCTCTGTGGAAAATCACTCGATCATTAGGGACACCTGCATGGGTCTGTTAGTGGTTTTGCTTCTGTGCAGCAATATGAAAAACAGTACAGGAGGTTAACAGCCACGTTCACCTTAGACTTCCCTTGTAGAAGAAACTAGGAAGACAGCAGCTCTCTGCTCCAATACTTGGCTATTGCTTGTTGCAGGGGGATTGGACTAGATGACCTTTGAAGGTCCCTTCCAACCCAAACAGTTCTATGATTCTATCTCCACGTTCAATTCATGTCATTGAGTCTTTTTTACCGCAAAACCTGAATTAGTGCAGTTTTACTATGCCCCATACCTGTCATGACACTTTTCAACCAGGAGACTGATCTGATCCACATATCTAAGCACATTATTTTGTTTTTCAGTCTATGACTTTTGTCTGAACTGACCCTGGAAGTTATACTTGAGCATATGACTCTCCCAAGAGGGCCTGGTATAAACAGTCTTAATATGTAGTCAGATCCAGCTGTTTAGAAATATACTCTTAAAGACTGATCCAATAGCACTGTTGCAACACCACTGATGTCTGAACTTTGCTTCTCTGCTCTTTGTCCTAAATTCCTTGCAACTTGAAAGCAT